ATAAATATGTACCCCCACCCCTAAATTATTGTAATAGCGTAGGACTTTACATTTCTGCAAATTTATCGCTTTCGAATATAAATGCTAGTAATTAGGGTGTGTATGGCAAGACCTGAAATTCACAAATAGATCACCCTAATCAAGACTAAAAGACATGCAATCAAACACACTTGCACACATTCACCCTTAGGGTAATCTCACTTTGTTGCCTATCAAAAATAGTCATGTCCCTCGAACATGGGCGTTTTAGCAAAGACCCTCGATAAAAGATTGTAATCCCTTGATGACCCTCGATGTTGCCTTCGGTAATCGATCTAGTCCCTAAAACGGCATTGCTAAAAGGTCCCATGGGTTGCCTTCTTTGACTATTCAAACATTCCAACATTCGTCCCTTCACATCCAATGACGGGGCTTCTTACCAAAACAATGGTAAGATAGCAACATCTAAAGGAGGAGGAAAAGCACATCTAAGACCCTTTGAGTAGGTAGGTTCGCTCTCAGTTACTCGTTTGCTCACAACAAAAACATTTCATGCACCAACACTATCACTTTGAAACATTTTCGAAACAAACACTTTGTATGCGTTCTTATAGAAACGAGAATCATTACAAAGTTACATTTTCAAAATCACTTTCAAAAACACATCTCACAAACACCTCTTTGAACTATTTTAGAAACAAACACTTTGTATGCGTTCTTATAGAAACGAGAATCATTACAAAGTTACATTTTCAAAATACTTTAAAAACTCACACCACAAGCACATTCAAACAAAAGAAAGTGATCTAGCGAGTAATTAAGAGCCCATGAAAAACCATGGATGAAAAGGGTGCTAATACCTTCCCTTTTCATAATCTACCCCCCAAACTCAAGACAACATCTCTAAATGTCTTTCCTGTGCTTTTTCACCTTTCCTTGTTGGATAAAAGAAAAGTCGGTGGCGACTCTTGCTAAACCGCAACATTTGCAAACACAAACGCAAAACACCCAAGTCAGTTCTCCCACCGTATCATACACATAAAATAAAAAATGGTTATGAGAGTCACACATAAAAAATATTAATTAAAAGGTTTTATATGTGCTTGAGGTTAAGCACAAAAATGAGTGGTAAAAGTCGGTTATATTTGAATCAAGAATAATATATGGTTTGAGTCGAAGGAGCAACTGAAGTGGAATAAAAAGAAATCAGATTTTTGATACATTTCATGCTTGATATGAATCAAGAACAAAGTTTTATTCAAATAATATACCCCATGATTCAAATCAAGTGCAAATCTTGATTATCAAGTGCAACAAACCCTAATGGAAGATGTTGAAAAAGTGTCTGATTTGAATCAGATGTAAATTCTGATTCGAATAAAATCAAGAAGTTATGATTAGGAGGAGCTTCATTTGAATCAAGTGTAAACTCTGATTCAAATCAAAGTGTTAGAAAATCCATTGGTTGCCTCTGTCCAATTTGATTTGAATCAGAATGTGTGCTTGATCTATTTGATTCGAATCAAACACACAAAATCTTAATTTGTCATGATTTTAAAAATACTTTGAGATTTTTCTTTGCACCTAACTAACCTGACCTAAAACACATATATTTTTTATTCCACTGACTCATGCAATTTTCTAAAAGCATCATGATCAAGTTCAAATATAACCATTAATTTATGCATGCTAAAAGGAATAACAAAATAATTTCAATCTTGACTCAAAAGATATGCAATCATGAGGGAGACTCAATAAACAACAATAAAAAAAGCGATAAGACAAGACATAAATTAACTGTATTGGGGGTGCTCCCCCTGCGTGTGTTAGGAACATGCAACAATATTCTCCTAGGGATATGCAACTTCACGATTCACTACGAAATTCTATTTCTCACAATAAATAAGGGTTGAGGATGTGAATTGCTTGGTTATACCAACTTGAACCGGTGTGAAGATAAAGATGACATAACTCGTTGTTGCGCTCTCTTCTTGCGAGGCCAAATACATTGGGACGTATATGTGTGCGTGTCAAATAAAATGGTTGATGAATTTGATGATGGAATTGTGTAGCAAAGAGTATGGAGTTGTGACATTAATGATAGACAATATTTCCGTTATAAACCTTGCAAAGAATCTCATTGTGCATGGGAGAAGCAAGCATGTCGTGATGAGATTTCACTACTTGAGTGAGCTTGTGAATGAAGGAAAATTGAAGTTGGATATTGCAAAAGCAAATATCAAGTGGCCGATTTGCTAACAAAAAAAGTGGCGATTAAAATGTCCAAGACGACGAAGAAGCACATGAGCATGGAAGACTTGAATTAAAGTGGTGTGTTAAAGAAAGATATAATTCAAGTAAGATGTAATCGATTATAGGTTTCGTGTAACTGGTTACCACCTTAGTCTGCAGTAAAGGAATCAAAATTTCAAACTTCCCTCCCAACAACGTTCACCAGTTTCCATTAAATGTCATTAAAATATATTAGCGACGTGGTTATCACGTCGCTACTACCCACGTGATAAGCACGTCGCTAATATATGTCGCTGGGGACATATTTTTTTGTAGTGGTTGGCGCTTATAACTGATTATAAGTTTGGTGTAATCGGCTACCTCCTTCTAGAATCAACCATGTAGGAGTTGGTAATCTGATTACGTTACATGCTTGAAATTTTTTTTTATTTAGTTGGTGAACTTTTCATATAAATACCTCAATTTATATTGTTAATAATAATGTCTCTATTTTCACCCGATTCTCTTCGATTCTCTCTAATTCTCTCTCATTTTCTCTCATTTGTTTATCATTTGAGTTTTATCCCAACCTTTATCACATTTTCCCTCCATAAAAATGTTTATTTACGCATGTGTTTTGGATCAATATCAAAATTTAATAATTGATATCTTGTTTTTGTGTATATATAAATATATTATAAAAAAATGCTGATGAAAAAGAATGTCGAAAAAAAAGGCAAACAAATGTAGCATCTGATTTGACGGATATATATTATGCTGTTATCAAGAACCATCAACATTGTACAAGCAATAGCAAAAAGTATATTCGACCTCGATCATGTTATCAATGAAACAACTAGTCCTTCACACACACCACCGCAAGTCTTTCTTTAATCTCTAAATGAAAACAAAAAGCATAAAAGAAAATGAAAAAGTTATCTGAGTTCTTGACTATTTTAGCACGTATATCTTACTTAAAAGTTCATATTCATGCTTAAAGAAATCTATGTATGATGACAAGATGACATGATTAAAGCTGATATATACTTTGCCTATTAAATTAACGATCTACACCATTAGTCCATTTCAATGCAAACAAATCTCAATTGTGACTATTGCTGTTTTCCTTTTAGAGGTATATAAAAACAAAGTTATCCCTTAAGTGGCAATGGATCATGTGGTCAAATTAATTAGGAAGAAACATATTCTTTGTGGAAGTAGAAAGCCACACTGTCTTGTCCTTAATTAAATTAAGAGTTTCAATTTTTAATAATTCTTATTTTGCTAGTTGGCAAAACATCCCCTACATTCTTTAGTTTGGGAGGTTAAGATTTTATGTCTCCACCAGATAATATATCTCTTCTTTCCCGTCCCTTTTTTTTAGACTTACGCAGACTTGTGTAGGGGCAATTCCGAGGAGAGAGCATTTTACTTGGGACACACTTTTGTAAGAGACACACCACTTGTCCATCTAAAACCTTAAGGTGATAAGTGAGTGGGTTCTCCCACTTATATATACTTAAGTCTCCACATTCCTATCCAATGTGAGACTATTTTCTCACTTACTCGCACTTGCTATATTATTACAACAACTTGTATATCAAAAATTATGTTAAAGTTTTAAATATGAAGTGTTCGCGGACCTGACCTGCCCTGCCGAGCAGCATTTTTTGTCAGGCGGGTCGAAGTTTTAAACTCGTGTCCAAGGCATGATAAGGGTGTCAACAGTAGATGCATCACCTTGCTCAATTGATAATGTCTATTGAGTCATTCTCAAGAATCTAATTAGGTTTTCAATGAATCATGTAATAGAATACGTACTTGCTAGTTGATTGCATAATGTTATGTTGCTATCACCATGTGAAGATGAAGCATTTATTGGAAAATGGGAAAATGGCCCCCTTGTTTTGACAAGCAGGCAAGCACAAAGAGATAAAGAATCCCAGAACAGGAAGCCTAATGAATAATGAATGTTCATTGTTATTTGGGCTGCTGTTATGGAAGAAAGATTTTGAAGTGTCATTCATAAAGCACTGATTCATAGTAATATTCTAGGTAAGAAAATGATTCCTCTTGAGAATTTTATTAGTTTCCTTTTCTTTACTATAGGTTAGTAACATTTCAATTATTACACCCATTTTTTCACTCTATTCAAAATGGTCCACACCCCTTTTGTTCCCACTCTCACCTCATCATTACTGTTACCAACACTTTCCTAAATCTAATCTCCTCCATTTTACATATAATAACTCAATCTTTTCTTAATGGATAGTAATAATCACCGTTCTTAACAACAATTCATGGAAAAAAGATGACAAGAAAGAGCCCATAGAAGACAGTTCCCTTTTCCTCTTTTCTTCATTCGGTGAAAAGGACATGTGAATGCGCAGATAAAAATAAAAAGCATACAATGTTATAAAGTATTGTTAAAATAAAGGTGGTTTTTTTTTTTTCATTCAATTTTCTCATCAATACTCACAACTGTAATTATTATCATCACATGACTTCATAAACTTTCATGAGAATCACATTAGTACAATTATGGGATCCTACTTTTCTACACCTAAAAATCCTCAACTACAATAGCTATCATATAGTAACAATAATCAATATTATAATAATGACCAAATAACTCAGTTCAATGCATATTAGCTTACTACTCATCATACAAAAAAAACTTCATAATTTTCTAAACTATTGTAATTACATTTCACATAGTCATAGTGATACTATAATCTTATTTAAACTCTAATGTGTAATTTTTGTTAAACATAAACATAAACATACATTTAGAAGTAATCAAATCGATTATTAGGTTGAAATGGTAGATCTCTATCTTTCTTGCTTAATTTAGGCACCATAACCCTATTCCTAATCTGGTTCTTATCACTAGGAACTTCAGGAGGTTTAACTGATCTAATCAAAGCCCAATTAACACCTTTGAAAAACTCATGTCTTTTAATCTCAACAGAACCCAAACAACTTCCAATTCTCTTATTTGGATTCTTCACCAACAGTTTACTTATAAGATCTTGAACTTTCACCATTTCTTCAAACTCATAATTACAATTAACAGTAATCCTAGGAAAACATAATTCTTGTTTAAGAATGTTAACCAATGTTTTCTCATTGTTTTCACCTTTAAACGGTGTTCTTCCATATAACATCTCAAACAAAAAAACACCAAATGTCCACCAATCCACTGCACTTCCATGACCTTGTCCTAATATAACTTCTGGTGCTAAATACTCATGTGTCCCCACGAATGATTTCGATCTTGCTTCGATTGGTTCCGCTACGAAATCAGGATCAAGATCAACCTCAAACTCTTCTTGAACATTCTCTCTTATAACTGTTTCAACTGTCGTTTTCTTTTTCTTGCTTGATGATAATAAGCATGATAAAACTGGTTGCATGGGTGAAATGCATGAAGGTGTTGAAGCTCTCTTTGTAGTGGTTTTGATGCTACGTTCTAATCTTGTTTTGCTTCTTAACAGCTTTGGAACGACGTCGCATTTGAGAGAAAGATCAAAATCTGATAGCATTATGTGTCCATCTTCTCTTACTAAAACATTCTCTGGCTTTAAATCTCTGTATACTATTCCCATCATGTGTAGATATTCTAGCGCCAATAGTGTCTCAGCTGCATAAAACCTGTTCATAATAACTGGTTAATACTTAACTATGATGGATACCACAAACACAACACCCATACTGATACGAAAAACAAAACACCACCCATACGTAGACACCATTAATAATTTTAAAAAAATAATAAATTATATATAATCACAAGTGACCGATTTCGGACATAGACACAGAAACTAGAGATAAGAAAAATGGAAGAGAAAAAGAGTTGTGAGCTTACTTAGAGGATGATAAGGAAAAGCGCTTCCCAGGTTGGCGTTGGCGAGAAGCGTATAAGTCGCCACCGGGACAAAACTCCATTACCAAACAAGAGTAATGAGAAGCATCAAACTCGGAATACAAAGTAGGCAAAAAAGGGTGATCAAGCATACGCAAAATCTCCTTCTCCATCTCAGCTCTCTGAAGCTTCTTTCTTATAGCAAGTGCTTCTCTATCAACGACTTTCATGGCATACAAACACTGAGGCAAACCCACCACCGGGTTTCTTATCTGACAAAGATACACATTCCCTATGTCGCCGCTTCCAAGTCGTTTTAAGAGGCGGAAATGGTCGAGTCCGACTCGACCTTTGTCGAGTCGGAGTCGGCTCATGGCCTGCCATGCAACTTGATTTGCCTTGTGAGGTTTAGCGTTGGAAGATATAGTTGAAGAGGTGTATGTGGTGGTGGAAGATACGGAGACGGAGCTTCGGCGACGGCGGCTTCCGAAGCTCAGGTTACTCATCCAGCTCCGGGTAGATTCTGGTACGGTGATGGAGGAGGAGCTGCTGTCGTAGTCAGGTTCATCTTTGTAAGGTGTGGTGGCCATGGAAGGTGCTAGGTAACATGTAAGTTTGTTGGTTAGTTTGGGAGAGATTTTTGTGGGCTTCACATTGTGTTTGTGAAGTGTAGTTTTATATGCTGTTTTTGATGGCATTGGTAGCTAGCACATGCGTGACGTGTAACGATAACAATTTTTTTTTTTTTTAAGTTTTGTTTATGATTTATATGCAAAATTTAAATTTAATTTAAAATCATTGAATATTAAATTTTTATTATAAATATTGTAAAATTAACTTCTCCTATCACATGATCTCTATTACACTTCAATAAATTAATTTTAACCAATTCAACAAATAGAGATTTAAAATTATGGTGAAGACTCTGATATCTTTATATTTAGTTGGAAATGATTCTATTTTGTGTTTTAATATTATTTAGTTTTAAAATAGATAAAAATTTAAAATTCATCTATATTAAAAAAAATCAGTAGGCCTACACTACCCTTTTAAAAGTTGGAGGTAATTTATTTCAAATAATTTATATCATTGAAATTTTGCTATGTAAAACAAATTTTTAAAATTACATATTATTAATTCAAAATTTTAAGGTATTAAGTATATCTCTTTTTATTTAAAAAATATTCAACATCATCTTTTTTTATCACGTAACAATATCATTCTACTCAAAGACCAAATTATATATTATTTCTTTGATTTAATTTTGATTATTTAAAGTTTTTTATTAATTTTTAATTTTAAATTTTTAATTTATGTGGTAAAATTTAAGCTCATTGAGAATAAACTACTTCTAATTTTACAAAGAGTGGACAAAAATTTACCTTATCTCATATAATAGAGATATGAGACCATAATTGACTATAGTCAACAAAGCAATGCAATTACGTTGTCTAGGATAATAGTCATTTGGTTTAGATATTTTAGTGATATAATTCTAGTAAAGTTTAAGTAGTTAGATAATGCAGTTGGTTATCAACTAGATCAGACAACAACACTACTCGAAAACAAGCAACTATTGCTGAAGCTTCACAGTATTCTCAAATTGTTGCAATGATGGCTACCACAAGCAGACCCTTTGTATACACTCAATGTTGTACCCCAAAATTTTCCCTCTCATTTCTTCAGAATTTTCTTACAAGATCTCCCATGACTCAAGTTTGCAGCACTGATACATCAATTTAGGTTCGAAATCAGCACAAGGGCAAAATGGTCAAAATACACACTGAAAAGTCAAACTTTGACTTTTAGATCAAAATCAAGTATCAAGAATCACATTTTATCAGGATATATTAGAATATGAAGTTGGTTCATCAAGAAAATCAAAGTCAAAATTACTTTGGAAAAGTCAAAGTTCTAAACACTTAGAAATTTTTCTAAGTGTTAAGAAAAATATGATAAGTTCAGAACTTCTGGCCAGATTTTCATGATAATACGAATTGATTCAGGAAGAACTTCTAACACAAGAGTTGTAGATCTCAATGGGATCTAAAACATTACAGAACAACACTCCTCCTAAAAATGTTGGGATTTCAAGTTATAAATCCTTAAAGACACGTCCATGAAACTAAAACACTTAATAAATTCTGAACATTTCCAAGTCAGAATTTGATTAGAACTTCTGGGCCAGTTTTTACGTAGGTACAATCAGAGTTTGCAAAGATGATTCAAAAAGGGGTTACAAAGTATGTTACAAGCTTTCTGAAAAGTCTGAGAACTCTTTTAGATCATGTTGGAGCAGAGAGAATCAAAGATCAGAAGTTGGACATTTATTCTAAGTTATGTTTATGCTGAACTTCTGATCCAGTTTCAAGCTAGGCTGCATAATCTCATGTTGCAGGCCTTCTTTCTTGTTAAATCTCATCATCATTTAATGCTTACACCAACTTTTGTGTCCTTACCCCAGTGTCTAAGCCTTTATCCAAAGGATCTTCCCATGTGTGACATAAAAGTACCACTGTTGTTCTTGAAAAGCAAACTTTTGTATAAAGTTTATTTTGGGCCCATACTTTACTTTGTTTCTGAGTGTACTTCCCCACAAATCATTCCTACAAAATTAGATTAGACGTGTTTAAAGCTGCTAACCACCCTACCTTGCCTTGGAACCATGTTCGTCTAAACTTGCTTCAAAAACAAGTAAACGATTCATAACACATGATGGTTGTACTCTTGACTTCTCCAAGCTTCTAAATCCTTTGCCTATAAATTAAACTTCATTTGCAAACTGAAGGAGGATTGAAAAAGATTGGAAAAAAGCCATGAAACTTTGCTGAAAATTCCCAAGAACCTGAAACTACAACACCAATACAAAATCTGCTAATTTTTAGTTTTTGCATCCAAACTCTAATTTTCCTCGTCCGATTCTTGGCCAAATCATCTATACAATTTCTGGTGTACACGTAAAAGCTTTCCCAACTTCTGTTTTCAAACTGTAATACAGTCTTCACCACTCTCCATTTCAAAAATCAAAACTTTGCATCTTAAATGCTCCAGTGCCTTCTAACCAGCCATAACTCAAGTTAAGGGTTGCTTTAGCTTTCTGAGACCTTGAGGAAGATGACCAGAACATCACAGCAATCTGAATCAGACTCTAACTCACAGAACAATCTCCAGTTGCAAGGTAAGTTTCTTCTGATTTTCATCTCATTATTTAGGTATTGTTAGGCTTGCAATTTCAAAGACACAATGTAGATGTCAGGGCTCTGAATCTGTACATATTTATAGATTTCATTTATATGGCTTAAGTAGAGAGAATTTCATATCAGAACTTCTTGAGGAAATTAGGATTCAGAATTAGGATTAACAAAATTCATGCTTGCTTCTGGTTTACAGTTTTGGTGCTTTGTATTTCTGAAACCATTGTGAAATTTTCCATGACTTCTATGTTTTCATTTTCCATTTTTGTTGAGAAATGACTAATTTGCAGATACTCTGGCTGGCGCGAAGAAGAAGATGAAGTTCATCACCAAAACTTACCTTGTAATATATGTTTATGTTTTTGTTTATAATACCGGATGTATAGTCACCCTAGTGGTAGAGAGCGCGCGCATAAGGCATTAGCATTAAGGGTCCTGAGTTCTATCCCCATAAGCATATTTTTTATGTTTATTTCTTGACATTTTTACCCCATTATTTTTCAAACAATATTCCTGGACCAGATCTTCTAGATAAACCCCTCCATTTGTTTGTCAAAACAGTACTCCTGGACCAGAACTTCTAGATATTCTCATCCAATAGCATTGACACCTCACGTACCCATTATCAGAACTTCTAACCTTCCAGTAACACTAGAACTTCTAGGTTTCCATCTGCGTCAGAACTTCAGGTCTCTCTCAACAACTAGAACTTCTAACCTTCCAGTAACACTAGAACTTCTAGGTTTCCAGTTGCATCAAAACTTCTAGACTCTCTCAGCAATCAGAACTTCTAGGCTTTCCTTTGTTCCCAGCAACCCCAGAACTTTAGTGTGTATGGATCCAGAACTTCTGGCTTTCCCCATTTCTGCTAACATTTTCTTTCTGATTTGCAGCGCACCAGAGTCGGAACTTCTTCTCTCTCTCTTATTTCTATTCTTTCAGCAACGCGCTGACTCTAACTCTTATTCTCTTATTATTTTTATCATCACTTTTATTTTCATTAATCAAAAACACCAAAAATACTTTATATTCATATACTTTGTTTTATTTCTTTTAGAGAATAAAAAGACTAAAAACATTTCCTTAAGCAAATTTATTTCTTCTCTCAACCAAAACAAAACAAATCTATTTTACATTTTAATTCTTGTATATTATTTCAATATGGTTGTAATAGATGATTAGGAATTTAATTTCTTGCAACCTCCATTTGTAAATTTGTACACCCTATTCCCCAAATGATTGTAATAGCGTAGGATATTTACATTTATGCAAATTATCGCTTTCATATAAATGCTAGTAAAGTAGGATTTGTATGAGAAGATAAAATCATACTTAGAAAGCCTTAATTCAAGATAAATCAAGCATGAAATTCAAACACTTTCACACTTGCACCTCTAGGGTTAACTCCACTTGTTGCCTTATGAAAAAAGGTCATGTTATGCATGCGAGACGTCTTAGCAAAAACAATAAAAAATACAAGATCATAGTCCCTCGATGCCGCTTCGAATGTTGCCTTACAAATGATCTTAGTCCCTCAAGAAAAATGATAAGATATCTCACAACATTTTTATCATGTCTATACGATGTCCCACGCTCGTCCCTTTACATCCAAAGATAAGGTTTCTTACCAATCAATGGTAAGATAACAATATCAAAGGAAGGAGGAAAAGAACAAAGACTTTTTAGTAGGTAGAAACGTTCTTATTTGCTTGTTCATATTCAAACATAAACACCTTTTTAAATGCACCTACACTTTCCATAGAATATTTTCAAAAGTCCAACACTTTGTATACATTCTTATAGAGACGAGAATCATTACAAAGTTTTCCTAAACGAATGCGCTTTTCAAAAATACTTTCAAAATCCACCATAAACACATTTTCAAACAAAGCAAGTAATCTAGCAAGCAACTAAGTTCCCATAGATAACTATGGATGAAAAGGGTGCTAATACCTTCCCTTTTCATAATCTACCCCCCGAACTCAAGAAAATAATCTCAAAGGTTTTTCCTGTTCTTTTCACCCTTTCCTTTATTGGATAAAAGAAAATTCGATGGCGACTATTGCTATCCGTAATAATTGCGGTAAAACACAAAACACCCAAGTCAGTTCTATCACCGTATTACAGAATTGGAGACTCTGCTGGGGATGAAGCTTAAAAGTGGGGTTACCTTAGGGCTAGATCACCTTTACTTGCTTTTCTTTGTTTGACTTGTTTGCTTTACATTATGGTTCCTTGTTTGGGCTTGTTTTGATCCTCTACCCGGATCTGGGGCACTTTTTTAGGTAAGTAGCAATAGATTATGGAAATTATACGGCGTAAACCGATATGGTTAAAGCAGTGGCTACGTTAGTGTGACGTATTTATTGGTACCGGTATCCCTTGTGTTGAATTGA